TCCTGGGAACTGCGACATTACAAACTTGTTCAACTCATCATCCCATCGCTTGGGGGGGCGACAAGGTCGTCGTCTCGGCACACTATTGAAATTGTGCTGGGATGACGGACTCCAGGTTGCAGCGCGTAGTGGCCAAGCATGTTTCGCAGGCAGGTTCATTACGAACTTGTGCTGATTAGCACGATGAACACTGGAACAGATGGGGGATGTCGTAGGCATTGTACCCGCCAGTGACACGATCATTGCATTCGGCAGCAAATCGAGCAACGCACGGACGTGAGCCGCCAAGGCGTCCATGCCTGCCCGAGCCTCCGCCGGTTTGGTTGAGCACGCGCGAGACAAACCGGCGGAAGACGTTGCCCGTCGCGATCCCGCGCACCCTGCCTGCACAAATGCCTGCATTGTATTGCATGGTCACGAAAGCTCCCCCTGTGGGAGCTTCGTTCAATATCTCACGAAGTGAGCCTGGGGTTACCGGGAGGGGGGTGCGGGGGGGGGTGGGGGGACTGGTGGGTTTTTTCGTTGCCAAAGGGGCCTGTTTTGGGCTAGATTTGGGTTTCTTTGGTAAGTGTTTTTCTGAGACGTTCGAAGGAAAAGCGGGGCCCCCCTGATGCTGCTGATGCTGGCCTGGGTGTGGGGCCTGTAAGCTCCGTGTCCCCAGTCCTAGGCCTACTAGAGCCTTCGTCCCAGCCCGTGGCTCTCAAGTTGTTGCGTATACCCGTTTATCAGTGTGAAGTGGAGGAGCGGTATCCACGCGATGAAGAGGCGGGCCGTCGGCTGCAACCGCCTCGCCCATGGACGTGGCAGGGAATGCCCCAATGCTCAACTGCATCAGATCGTTCACCAGGCAACATGCTAGCGACTTCCCCCGACACGCGTTACGATTTCGACTCGCCCGGTGAGAGCAGTCCGGCGCGTGGGCAGGCAAGCGCCTGGCTGCTGAGGCCATGGACTGCCGCACTGGTCAGAAGGCAAATTAGTAGGCAGGGATGGTCGACCACGACATTGCGCTTGCATTCGCACGGGCATGATTGCACGGGCGAAAGCTTCCTGACCGCCGGCCTGCTGGCGCTGCGTCAGGCTCCCGCTCGAACAAGCCGCCGCTCGTATCTGCAGAGAGACGAGTCCTCGAACGATCGTGTGTCGTGATCAGAACAAACGTGAAACTATTATGTACATGATTCATGCGAACATGCAGGAGTGCACAAAACAAATCCAAAAAACAAAACACGCAAGCATCATCAAGCATCAATAAAACCATTCAAAGTCAGCGTTTGTACATCATGGCCGCTCAGAAGAGAGAAAGTCACTCATATGTCACGCGCCGTATCGGCAAGGCAGCGCCGCATGCTGACAAACATCATATCGCATCTCGCAAGCAGCAGCTGCACGGCATACCTGACCAGCAAGGCATGTGCAAGTGAGTCGGATTGCAAACGCGCAAACGCGGCAAGGCACGACTTCACACACACCACGATGGCGAGCGGAGCGCCCATCCGCGAAGTCGTGATGTCCACAGCGGGCAAGGCCCCAAAATCTAACATCATGAGCATTTGAACTGTCGTCATAAACAACAGGATGCTCACGTTGTCGCGGTTGCCATTGCAGATACTGAGCTAAGCTCTCAACGGCTTGCAGTTCTGACACATAATTTGCATGGAACCGATCAACCAAGATCGCCCGTACATGGTCCACCCAACGTTTAACGAACCTTGATGGGAAGCCACTGTCGCCACCAATGTGCTGCTGCTTGACCTCACCTTGTCGTCCAGCAGCATATGGCATATGCGGTCATCGCCAACGGCCTTCTGTACTGGAGCGGCGCCCAGCTTGGCTCGCAAAGGCAAAGAAGGGACATGCCCCGATCCGCACGGTCACCTGCCCTGCTGCGTTCCAGCGCCACGGCCGCCTACGTCGCCCGCTGGTCTGCTCTCCTGTCCTTTGCAATTGCCCGCGCGCTTGCCACGAGTTTTCTTGCACTGCCTCGTTCACAAAAAAACTCACGGTTGAGAACGTGGCCCTGGGTCGTTTCAAGGCATTCCTTTCTGTAGCCTCACGCCGCGCAAACCACGCCGCCTTGCGTTGAGAGAGAGCATGTTTTTTGGAGCGTGCCCACGGTCAGAGAATCGTCGCCAAAGGGTGAGCTTAACAACCGTTGCCAAGGCATTGAGACCGCAAACTCTGCATGACTTGCGCGTTGCGCTCGTGCGCGAGCTCTACCGTTACGGGGGCCGCAACAGGTAGGCCACCTGCAGCCTGCAGCGCCTGAACACGCGCATGTTTTTTTTCCGCCTCATGTTTCAGTAGGGCCTTCTTCGCCCACTCGGCCTCGCAGCTCAAGGGCAATTAGGTTGGACACTGCGTCTACTCGCTTGTTGCAAAGCAGCTGGTCTCACGCGAGGTCGACCATATTCGGGCGTGCATGGCCGGTGCCGTGAGGACCTCGGCAGCAAATGGTCTCGACTGGGAGGGAAGGAGTGCGACTGCCGCCCCTTCGAAATGAATGAAAGGGCGACGTGGAATTGGCCCATGAAGCCGATAACGCCACAGACGCGGGCCGAGCCGACAGCTTGTGAGTTGCGAGCGCAACAAACCGCAGCGTCACGCTGGCCGCCAAGGGCAACCAAGGCATTGGTTGCGAAGGGACCGGACCGGGATTCAAGCAGCGCTTGCGAAGGGACGTCCAGCCTTTGCGCCAGGGAGCCCGTGCCGTGTCAAGGACAAGGGATGCACGGCGCTGCCAGTCCCGAGCCATGTTTATCTGCAGGCAGCATGCACGGGAACATTCAAGCAATGCTTACGGGGACCATGCCTTGGCGTGGCTCGAGAAGCCATTGGGCCAAGCTGTCCCGTGGCAATGGCTGGCTCACACAACGCCTTCCCGCGCGGACCCCACCGCCATGCCAGGCGCCGCATGGCGCTGCGCCACTGGGCGGAGCGCCCACCCAAGGCAGCGGTCTGGTACAGACTTGGACCAGGTCGTGCACCCTGCCTTCAGCGGCCTAGGGATGTAGCTTCTCGGGACCTACCCGCTCCAGCAGCCGAAAGAAGCGCGCTGATTAAAAAAAAAAAAGGAAAACAAGTTTCCACTAACATTACGCAAATCCGGGTCATGCGCGGCTGCGCAGTGATTGGCGCAGCTGGGCCACACAATGGTGCAGTCGTAACAGTGCGCTGCTCCGGTGGTCTGTGACTCCTGCAGTGCAACCGGGCGTGGACCGTTGCACGCGGTCGTGTTGGATGCCGACAACGACCTATCACCAGCTGCACCGCAGCCTGGCTTTTGTTTGGCGTGCCAGCATCAATTGTGCAGACTTTGGCATTTCAACTCATTGATTTTTCAACTGCCCTGAGGTACTGGTGTTGCCCAAGGCCTCGCTGTCACGTTGCCATTGTTGACATGTGTTGATACAATCTCCTGCATGATTGTGTTGTTCACGTGTCACACCCCTGTTTTGGTTTAGGTCTATTGTCTGAGCGGCGGTGGCCGGCACAGCTTAAATTTCTGCTGCTGCTGTTGCTGCTGCTGTTGCTGCTGCTCTTGCTGCTGCTGTTGCTGCTGCTCTTGCTGCTGCTGTTGCTGCTGCTCTCGCTGCTGCTCTTTCGCTGCTGCTCTTGCTGCCGCTCTTGCCGCTGCTGTTGCCGCTGCTCTTGCTGCTGCTGTTGCTGCTGCTGCTGCTGCTGCTGTTGTTGTTGTTGTTGCTGCTGCTGTTGCTGCTGCTCTCGCTGCTGCTTTCGCTGCTCTCGCTGCTTGTCTCGCTGCTTGTCTCGCTGCTGCTCTCGCTGCTGCTCTTGCTGCTGCTCTTGCTGCTGCTCTTGCTGCTGCTTTTGCTGCTGCCCTGTTGTTTGTTTTGTCCTGCGGCCGTTCCTGCCGGCAGTAGTGTTGTTGTACTGTTGTTGCTCTGCCTGGTCATTGCATGGAGAAAACATCTGATTGCGAAGCGGCAGCAGCAAGAGCAACAGCAAGCGGGTGGAAAGCAACAACGCCGGAGTCGTGCGCAGGTTTACCATGCAGAAGTTCCATCGGTCTTTCCACCCGAACGCGTACGGGCGCCGCTAATTGCAAGGGCCCGAGACATGGAAAAAATGACAGCGGCATTCCGGCAAGACCAACCTGTTTTGCAGGCTTCGACAGAGGCCTTAACCTGAGGAATCTTGTAGCTGCCCTGGCCCTTGCCTCATTCGTTTGGTTGTTATTCCACACGCAGCAGACTAGCGCAGCTTCAAGTTGTGTAGAGCGCAAGTGCGGAAAATGCAAAACATGCAGATATGTGCAGATAGATGAAGGTCAGGAGCCGCTCAGGGCCGGCAGCTGCGAGGCCATTCCCTAGGCGGGGGGCCTAGAAGAGAACAAGCATTTTTTTTTTCAATCGTTGCCTTCCTTGGAACATGTGGGCTGCAGAGCTGTGTTGTATGTCGGTTGGTTAGCCTTGCTTTTTTCGTTTCGTGGCCGCATCTGATCAAGCTTTTTGCCTTCCATCAGCCTCGGGCCGTGGTACAAGCCGAATCACGGGTTTTCTGGAGCAGCAGCCTGGAACAATCATGGAGTGGAAGACATGTGAGTCAATTGTCATGCATTCTGATGGCTTGGGAATTGAAGAGAGTCCCTTCATGAGCACTGCAGGTTTTCTGTGCGGAACGTGAGTTTGTCGAGCACCCACGCCGCCACTATGCAAGCAGCGACTGCTCCTCGTTCATCCCAGCAAGGTGCAGTTTGCCAGAGATTTTGACCTTGGAGTCCAAACTTTTGAAGTCTAAAGCCGTAACCTTCTAGCATGAGATGCGATGAGATGCCTCCTGCCTTTTGCTCCTGGAAACGCAATGTGTCCCTGCAGATGCGGCCATTGCTCCGAGATTCGGAGCCTGGCTCAGAAGGAGGATGCAGCCCACCATCAGAGACATGAGTTTGCAGTGTTCCACTGCAAAACAAGGAAGCCACTACGAAACGTTCAATGTGCCAGACGCGCCGTCCTCTGCACAAGAAGTTGTGCTGTGCCCAGGCCGCAGCCCATCGCGAGCATCTGCAAGGCGTCTGTTTTCTTCTGTGCAATGATGCACGGCACCTGGGACAGATGACATGCGGCCTTTTTGTGTACCGAAAGCCAGGGAGCGAGCCACCAGTGCCGCCTCACCAGATCCTTGCGACAAAGAGCAGCAGCTGAAGCGGCCCTCCGCCTGCACCGATTTTTCTTCCCGACCGCATGGGCTGTAATCCGTCCCAAGACTACAAAGTAGCCAGGAGAGCAGACAAGCAGCAGGCAACGAGCAGCTGCACCGGCATGCAGCCTTTGTAATTTATAAGCAGCCAGACGACGTGTCCTTTGAAGGCAACAGGAGAACCAGAAACTCTCTGCAGATGACGTCCTTTGAAGGAGGCACAAAGGAGGGAGAACCAGAAACCTGGACCAGTGGAAAGCTCAAAGAATATTACTGGTCGAGGGCTTGGGAAGGAACGAAGGGCAGGGCTTGATCCGGTCGAAAGTGGTGCGGAGTGGTACTTCTGTAAGGGGCCCAATGCAGAGTTTTTTTTCTCTGTGATTTTGGAAGCCGAGGATCTTTGGCCCTACTGGCATGCCCCAAGCTCCTTATCCTTATCCATTAAAGCCTGCTCCCTGGCAGCAGTAAAGCTTGAACAATCGGGAATCTGGAGTTGAGAGTTTTCGTTGCTATGAGACTATTTGCAGCCCAGGACCCACTGAACGTGTGTCTTTTCGACGTGGATCTTGTCTTCGAAAGGCTGCTGAATGGCAGCTCGATCGACAGATGTTGTGACATGGAGTCTGGCACAGCGCTGCGTTAGGTCTCCCGGCCCTATGCTACAGCTTAGGACCTGCACCAGGGGCCCGCGTCGGCAACAACCTGCCGAACTGACGCCCTGCAATATGTCAAAGTGAGGTCGTTGCTCTTTGGCTTCGAATGTAAAGATCAAGCCAACGTCTGGGAAAGCCAGGTTACCAGTAGTACAGGTTTCCACTGCCAAGAGGAAAGCGTCTGCAAGACTGCAATGCCTCATCTGCCCCACTCCAAATTAGCAGCACCAGCTGTAGTAGCTGAACGATCCATACCTTCCGAAACAGATTCCGGGCGCATTTCCTCTTGCGAGTAGTTTTTTTGGAATCATGCTGAGAAGCAAAGTTAAATGCCCTGAGCAAGCTGTCCAACAGTTTTGCAGCTGCAGCTGCTCACTGTGCATTCTGCGTGCGTCAGATCCTTGCATCTCATCATGCTATTTTTTCTGTGCGGGGATTCTGGCCGCTACCCCGGTCAGAATCGGTTTGAACTTCAGCCGGAAGACAATTGCAGTCGAGATCTAGTCCAGACAGTCCCACTTGCTTTCGTACCCTGATAGCAACAGTTCGATGCTAAGAGGTTACTGCAGCAGCAGCCCAAGTGCTTTTGAGAAGTTTCCAGGGACCTACTTGCCAACCATGTCTGCAACGACTTCCGATTGCTCTGGAGCGCCTGCACGTGAAGTTGCGCGATGACTGCGGTTGGCTGTGCGGGAAAGTGGGGGTTGGGTGGCATGAACAGGAACTTTCTGGGTTTGATACGCTTTTGGAGGTTCTGATGAGGTGAGGTTTAGTGGCGTAGTTGCAAACTTTTACGGCAACATCTACGGGGAGCATTGGGTTCAAGGGGTACGGGGCGTTCTGCTAGCGTGGTCTGGTAGTGTGTGAGTTTTTCTCTCGCCGAAGCTAGCCGCGGTGCCGCCTGCGTTTCAGAGTGCCACACGGCATGGCCTTGAAGCCTACTCGACCCTGGTGAATGCGTAGATCCTTTCTTTGGCAGAGTGCCGCAGCTTCAGAAAGCCGGCAAAGAGATCCAAGAACGTGCGGGTGTAGCCGTGAGGCTTATCCTTTTATCCTTTTCGCTGCGATTCACCAGACAGTTTCGAAGTGGCCGATGAAAGCTGCGCGCGCGTGTGTTGGCTCTGTTCGCGTGTGTAAGTGGCACAGAGTCACTGCGTGGATAATCAGGGGGGGGGGGGGGGTGGTACCTTGCTTTCTAAAGAAAGAATCCCTGCATACGCATGGTCAGCACGTACGGCCACAGACGTGTGAGATTCTGTGAGCGATTCTGGCAACAACGCGTTGCTCCGCCCTCATAAGTAAGCGTGAGTGTGTCATATTCAGCGTAAGGCACGCTGGAATATGTGCCCACATGTGTTAACTTCAGATCGTCTGTTATGTAAGCCGAGTGCTTTGGTAGGCATGTTTTGTCTTGTTCCTTTTTGTGTGTCATATCGGAGAAACGTCTAGAGTGACCGGATTTTTCAGGGAATGTCTGCAAATGGAGAGCTCTTCAAGGAATCTGAGTAACAGGTATTCTGTATTCTTGAACCTGCTTGTAAGATAAAGGGAAGTCAAGCGTGAAGACACGAGGACAAAGTACAATGCCTCACATTGGTTTGTGGATTGCGGGTTGTTTCAGAAACACCAGATCTATTGATAAAAGTTGTTAGGTTGGTTTAGGCCTAACCGAATTCGCGAAGGATTGAATAAGCAGGAGATTGTGTTGAGATTACTAGGACAAGACCGGAAAACAAGAAGCCACTACACTCGTGTGGCTTTCACTTTTGGCACGCCCGCTCACCTCGCTGCGAGCCTGCTATTCTAGGCTCGTGCAGCGTGGGCAAATTCGTAGATGGGGTGCATTTTTGCACAGCTCTCACAATCGCCACCAAAGCTGCTGCACGCTAGATGTTGTCGGGCGTATCCTCATCACAGCTTTGCAAGGCTTGCGCGCCAGGGGTGGGAAAGGTTCATAAAGGTTCTACCATGCCAACTTTACATAATGATCCGAGAAGACGCAGGCATGCGAGGCAACAGATCCTTGATGTGAGCGACAGCTTCTTCTACATATCCTGACGCGTGCAGTACATGGACTGCACCATGTACGGGTGTTGTTGAACATTGATCATATCCGTTGAGTCGCTCGACACACGCTAGCGAGCTGTTCCGGGCTTCGTCTGATTGTTGTGACGTTTCTTCAGCTTCACATCCGTTTTTGACAGCAAGAAACAGTTGATTCTTATCAAACAGGGTACTGTCGGTTTTAGTGGTTGCGAGACGTTGCGCAAGGTTCGATTGTATGTAGCTTTTTCATCGGCGGCTATAGCTGCTCACGTGCATGCGTTGCTGGCACCAGCGACAGTTCCAAGCAGCTAATTAAAAGCTAGGCTTCTGGAGGCATGCGGGTGAAGGGAGCACCGCTCCTCTCGCCCTCTGCTGCGTGCCGCGTTGCTTGGTGAAACGCAGTTTGCCGAAAATCTCTCGCCTCATATTCTTGGCGTAGAATCCGAATTTTCTGCAAGTGCCATTCCCATCTGAGAATGAAGGGAATGGCCTGTAAGATAAGATGTGCGTGGTCCGCATCTCTGCAAGCTCTGCTAGCCTTTGCGTCAGCAGCCCTATGCACGTTCCTGCAAAATTGCGCTTTTGGGCAGCTGACGGCACCGCTGTCTTCTGCGAAAGTTCAGTACTTGCGCCCGCCAATGAGTTTACAGATGGCGAGTTGGCGGAGTGTGCAAGCAAAGGACAGAAGGAAAGAAGCGAAGACTCAAAATCTGTCGGACAGATTCCTCAATCCACCTCACCCCTACCATTTCCCTGGGTGCGTGGTGAGAGCATGGAGAAGCAAGGAGGCTAATGATACAACAAAGAAGCCTTTGCCAGTTTTGCCAGGCCAAGCGGGACGCAATGCGAACGGGGACGCCAGTGGCTTGTGTCCAGCAATCGTTCCGGCACTCTTGCCTGCGCAAACTGCGTTTGCAAGTTTTGCAAGTGCAGGTTGTGTGAGCGGCAAAATGTTGCAAATGCAGAAAATGCAGATCGATCAAGGTCAGGAGTCGGCCAGGGCAGCTGCGCCGGCCCATCTCCGAGGCGGGGGCCTGGAAGATAATCGTTGTCATATGGGCTGCAGAGCTGTGTTGTGGGTGGCTTGGCCAGCTCTTTTTTGTTTCTTTTTTTCGTTTCGTGGCCGCATGTGATCAAGCTTTTTGCCTTCCATAAGTAGCCTCGGGCCGGCGGTACAAGCCGAATCACGGGTTTTCTGGAGCAGGAGCCTGGAACAATTATTGAGTGGAAGACATGTGAGTCAACTGTCATGCATTCTGATGGCCAGAGAGTTGAGAAGGGTCCCTTCATGAGCACTGCAGGATTGCTGTGCGGAACTTGAGTTTGTCGAGCACCAACGCCGCCACTATGCAAGCAGCGGCTGCTTGTCGTTCATCCGAGCAAGGTGCAGTTGGCTAGAGATTTTGACCTTGGAGTCCAAACTTCTAAAGTCTAAAGCCGTAACCTTCCAGCATGAGATGCGATGAGATGCCTCCTGCCTTTTGCTCCTGGAAACGCAATGTGTCCCTGCAGATGCGGCCATTGCTCCGAGATTCGGAGCCTGACTCAGAATGAGCCCATTCGGATGCAGCCCACCATCAGAGACATGAGTTTGCGGTGTTTCCACAGCAAGACAAGGGTACAGTAGCCACCGTGAAGCATTCAATGTGCTACGCTTCTGCACAAGCAGTTGTGCTGTGCCCAGGCCGCAGCCCATCGCGATCATCTACAAGGCGTCTGTTTTCTTCGCACGGCACTTGCTCTTGTTGCACAGAAACGCAGCAGCATCTTCAAAGAATGTGGGAGTAGTCAAGCTTTTGGACAGATGACATGTGGCCTTTTGCCCTAAAGCCAGGGAGCGAGCCACCAGTGCCGCCTCACCAGAGCCTTGCGACAAAGAGGAGCAGCTGAAGCGGCCCTCCGCCTGCACCGATTTTTCTTCCCGACCGCACGGGCTGTAATCCGTCCCAGGATTACAAAGTAGCCAGGAGAGCGGACAAGCAGCAGGCAGCGAGCAGGTGCACCGGCATGCAGCCTTTGT